TGTGTGTGTGTGTGTGTGTGTGTGTGTGTGTGTGTGTGTGTGTGTGTGGAGGGGGGAGGGTGTCTACTCCATTATCTGTGTTATCAGCCGACCAGGCCTCCACAGACAGACAGGGTGCTGGGAAACGCAAGCCAGAGAGTGCAAGGGAAGCAGGACACCTGATGAACTTAATGAAAGAAAATTCAAAGTGTTCCATTTGATACGTCTTTGGGTGTAATTTGCAAAACACAAAACTTAACACTAAAACATACTGTACATCAGCATTTTCCTTTGTAACGGTAGCTTTGTAAAAGGGACACAATCTCTACTACATGTCTAAACATGACCAAATGCAATCCTATTCATTTTCATAATTATAATAATCCTAGAGCTGTAACTTCAGTTTAGTCACCAACAGTAGCTGTTGTTTTTGTTCCCTTTTCTTGGAGTTGTTGCCCTTCATGAGAGAAGTACGTACATTTGGGTGAGGTTACTAAAGACAAGTTAGCTTCCTCGAGCACGGAAACATCCTATTCCTGCTTAGATGCCTTTTCAAGCCCCACAGAAACGCTACACAATGACTTGAAACCACAGCCGAGAGGAAAACACCATTGTGTTGTTGATCCTCCAGTTTCATTTGAAACCAGAATGGAGCTCACACAGAGACGCCAGGGCCCACTTTCTGTTGATCGATTGTTTACTTGAGGAAAACACAGGAGAGCCTGAAAGCATGTGATTCTTTGAAGCAAGTAAACTAGCCATTAAGATTTTGCAATGATGTAAAAAAGGGGCTTATTTTATCTATTTTGACCCCAATAGATATTTTAAATCAAGACAGTACTCTAAAGAAAGGAACGTAACCGTCTGACTATTAAAACTTATTGATAATTCACCGTAGAGGGAAAATTACCAAATGCTTCAGTCACACATGAATGTGAATACCAAGGCGCTGCTTAGTTTGACCTGAAAGTTTACTTTCAGGTCACGTCACTCCCCAAGGGTAAAAGAAAAGGAAACTGAAAAGAGAGTGAGACAGAAAGAAAAGCCTCTAAATCAGAAAGGAGACGAGTTCCTACTCACTGCTGCACACGCGCGCGCACACACACACGCGCACGCACCATTGAGGTTCCCACATCTCATAGTAAAGTCGGTTTACTAATAGTTCATGAGTTTGTCTTTCTTGAGTAGGTTACTTGGAAACAATGCGCGCGCGCACACACACACACACACGAATTCATTAGGACTAATTTGAGTATAATTCGGTTCACAGAGTGCCTAACATAGGAATGCATTGCTTGTCTTCTG